GCGACCAGTGCAGCCGACGGGCAAGCGAAAACAAACAAAGACAAAGAAAACTAAGGAATTGGGCCAGCCGAGGGGCCGAGCGACCGCGGGGCGGCGGGCGAGCCTGGGGCGACCAGCGCAGCCGACGGACAAGCGACAACGGATCAAACAATCAAAACCAAAGAATTGGGCAAGCCGAGGGGCCGAATGACCGAAAGGCGGCGGGCGAGTCTGGAGCGACCAGTGCAGCCGACGGCCATGCGAAATCAAACACAAAACAACAAAACCAAGGAATGGGGCCAGCCGAGGGGCCGAGCGACCAGCGTCACCCAGGGAAGTGACAACCAAACCCTAGAAGTAGATTAGGTTTGCGCCCGCCCCCAAAAACAACAAAAAAAATAGATTCTTGAAATAGGAAAGCGCTAAAAGTAGGTTGGGATCTGGGAATCCAGAAATACCTACTTTCAACGACCGGTGGGTACAGGTAGCTGGCAGTTCCCAGCTTCGCATTGACTAAACTGCCAGCTGCATCGTTGGCCTCAAGGCAAGCTTTCGAGATACCTCTCTGTGTCGAGGCCCCGAGCTGATGACCTTCAACCTTGAACGTTTCTATGTCGTTCAACGGGCCTGCGGTCGCACCCTCCAGGCGCCCCCACATGCCTTTGCAACTCTGGGCCCTCTTGAGCCCCAACTAAACTCGGCGCCGACGCCTCGCGACGTATGAGCCGTTTGTTATAAGCTTCATATGGCCAGGAGTGTGCTCTATGCACTCTGAGACAGCACTAAGTTCAGCTCTAGTAGTAATATGCTTAACCCCTCGCGGGCCACTGCGCTCTCTGGCTCACTTGATGCAGCCGACCGCGGGGGTGGTGAACACCGACCACCCCCGTGAGATTCTAGCAAGGGCGCAAGCAAGCTCGGACCGCACAGCCAGCACCTTGGAGATATGAGGTCAAGCGATTCCAAGAGCGCAGTCTTGGCTTCACCGGAGTCTAAGAAGCACAAGGGGGAGCGCATGACACAGGAGCAAAACTCGACAAGATGTTTGACATGATGATAAAGATGCAAGAGCAAATAGACAACATGCAACAGACGGTCCAGATCTCCAGCGACACCGCCGGAAAGGCCATGGCAGAAGTAGTGAATGTCAAATCTGATATCCAGGGTGTAAGGGCGGATATGGAAGCTTTTCGGGGAGATGTACCACAATTGGTGAAAGACATCATTAAACAAGAAGTGAGGGGACAGGGGGAAAACCAAGTACCGCCTGTTGGAGGAGGAGTTTTTGGAGGAGGTGGAGGATCAGCAAGAGTACCAAGGAACGGTGACCATGCAATTTACCAGGGCATCCGGGAGCTCCAAGTTATCGCGAAAGGCCTGAAGGAGAGCTTGGACGAGGACGAGGTTGTCAACCAGGTGAAGGAAGCAGTAAAGACCCTCGGGGCTGAGAATAAGGTTACCAATGTTTTCGTGTTTTCTGATCCGTCGACCGTGGGGGTGATCGAGTTCAAGAGTATGGCATCAAACATCGGATTTTTGAAGCACGCTCGGATTTCCAACATTAAGTGGGCAAACGGTTGGGACATGTATTTCACGAACAACAACACTCTCCAAAAGAGGAACATCGACAAAGAACTAGGCCAAGTAAAACATCAGTTACATCAAAAGGGGTACAGCTTAAACGATATTTCAATAAAGTGGAACGAGGAGGTTGTCGAGCTTAAGGGTAAGAGGGTCGCGTATTGCGAGGGAGGCGAGGTCAAGTGCCAGGGGGAAGGCATGGATGTCAAGACCACCGTGACAGAGTACGTGAAGGAATCGGTTGCTAAGCTTGGTGACGGAAACAAGTAAGTACCCCTACGGCACGGGCCACGAGAAAGGTACCTGGGGAAGGAAGGTTTCATGATGGTAAAGGCAGTGTTGGAGGAGGCAGGGGCGCTTACGCAGATGTTGCGGGCGACTTTCCATTGGCTTCTTTACGACAGGCCGGACACACAGTCATAAGCACTGGGGGCGACGACAGTCACAGCTCTGACGAGAGAGGTGAATTCACAATGCACGTTTATCATATGAATGTCAGGGGTCTGATCTCTGATAACAGAGTTGATGAGTTATTCAGGGAGCTCAGGTCGGTGACTTGGGATTTCATTTGCTTGAATGAGACGTGGCGCTCCGACGAGAGGGAGTACTTCTTATGCGAGGGCGGCCATGTTTTCGCAGGCTGCGGTGGGGACGAAGGAGCCAGAGGAGTAGCAATTCTTGTGCACAAGAGGTGGGCCAACAACATTATCAGATTCAGTCGTGTCACAGAGCGCTTGGGGTACATCGACGTGAAGTGCGGTGGTTTGAAATTTCGTGTATGTTCTGGGTATTTCCCTCACGCTGGTTATCCTGATCATTCCGTGCAGTCGTTGTACGATGCGATATCCGAGCTGCACCGGGAAGCCAAGCACAAACATTTGCATTTCATCTTAGCTGGGGACTTCAAACGCAAAGGTGGGGCGGCGCGAGCACGGCGACGTAGAGAAGTGCATCGGGCAAACCGGAATGGAAGATCAGAACTGCCGTGGGCTCTGGCTGAAGGCGTGGGCTTGCACAGAACGCTTCAGCATCACGAACACTTTCTTTCCAAAGCGGCATCCCTATATGTTCACGCACCGTGGGGCGAGCGGCAACGAGCGACAAATTGATTATATATTGGTGGACTTTCAGCTTTTGCCTCGTGTACTCGATTCTTGTTCGACTGGCGTTTTGAACATGGGATCAGACCACAAACCAGTGCTGCTCAAAATACGTTTTGCGAGTAAGCCGAAGCACAATGCCAAAAAGAAGGACCACGTACAGCAAGTTCCTTTGAAATCTGTTGATGCACGCCGGTTTACCGAGGAGACCCAAACGAGGAGCAGAGATATCGAAGTCACTGGGGATCCCGATACCGATTGTGAGGTTATCACGAAGATCATGGTTGATTCTGCTTCCATTGCCCAAGCGGCTCAGAAATGTCATTGCCGATTTTTACGCCAAGCTGTACAGTACCACTGCGGCAGCGCATGAACCAGATTCTGATGTAACGATTTGGAAGCAGAGACAATTCAACCTTCAACCATTGAAGAACTGCGCGAGCAGTTGGCGAGTCTCAAGAACGGTAAGTGCTGCGATCAAGACGGGGTATGTGCAGAGATGTTGAAAAATGCTGGCGTTACTGTCGAAGCTTTACTTTTGGATCTGCACATCAATATAATTTCACCGTCGGCGTCCCCACCGGAATCGTGGAAAAAATCGGCTCTGACTGTACTGCATAAGGCCGGCGACGTCGCTGATGCCAACAATTACCGCCCGATCACCATCATCCCCCTGCTTTACAAACTGTTTGGCCTCAGCACCGTGCACCACATGTTTGCTGTGTCTATGCTTCAGGAGAAATGCCACGAATGGCAGTGTGGCTTGTGGCTCGCCGCCCTGGACTTCAAAAAGGCATTTGATTGTGTTGAACACCGTTCTTGGTAGCGCGCGCTTGCCCGACACGGCGTTCCATCCCGATACATATCTCTGCTTCAGAAGCTTTACACTGGACAACCAGCCAGAGTACGCACTGATTGCCTGAGCAAGCCTTGCGAGATCCAGTGTGGAACGAAACAAGGGGACCCGCTGAGCACTTTGTTGTTCAATTGTCTCATAGAAGACGTTGTGAGCGAAGTGAAGCAGAAATGGCTTGGGAAGGGTTGGGGCTTGAAGATGGGATTCACGGAGCACACACAGCTGACAAATTTACGTTTTGCGGATGACATTCTCCTCGTGCCCAGCACGCTGAGGCAGCTCAAGGCCATGCTCCGGGACATCAAAGGCGCCGCGGCCAGAGTTGGACTCGAACTACACCCAGACAAAACAAATATTCTGAGCAACGCGACCAGGGGCACAGGCAGACCGAAGGAGCCGAAGGTCATGATTGGCGACATGGGCATTGATATTGTTCCTGCTAGCGGAAGCGTGAAATATCTTGGCATAATGGTGGGCTTCGACCGGGCCCATGATGTGGATATCAACAATCGCATTCGTTGTTCTTGAAAGTGTTTCATGCAGCACCGCGCAGAGCTCACGGACAGAAGCTATCCATTAAATGCGCGTCTCCTGTTGTTTGACAGCACAGTGACTGCCACGATGCTCTACGGCTCGGCCACGTGGGTGCTGACGCGCGAACTCGAGGACAGTATTCGTCGAACACAAAGGAAAATGCTAAGAATGATTATCCGCATGCCCAGGCGCAGAGAGCACCGACAGTCAACGACTACATCGTCATCGTCGTCGTCTTCTTCCTCTTCCAGCGATGCTTCGCACGCTTGTGATACGGATCTGGAGCCATGGGTGGATTGGGTGAGAAGGGCTACGCATGATGCTGAACACCGTGTCGCGCGTCTGAATCTACGTGATTGGGTTGCAGAACGCCGCAAAGCAGCAATACGTTGGCTTGGGCGCATGAGTACTGACACAGAGTCGTGGGAACATATTGCATGTAACTGGGAGCCAGAGAGCCGCGTCCGGCGGCGTGGGGGGCAGTGTAAACGCTGGCTGGAATGCACCGTCGAGTACCAGAACTGAGGGCGCTGAGGCGCCACCGCGCCACCCGTCTCGGGGCGGCCTCCGGGCCGATGGAGCGCGTCGTTCGTTCGCTCGTTCGTGCGATTCTACGAAATCCGCCGACCCCTTGGGGATCATCGGCGCGCGAGATGCTTCCGCTCCCGAAGCCCCTCCCCCCAGAGCCCAGTCCGGTCTCATCTGGAGGGGGGGGCCGTCCGGCCAAAGCTCACCGGGGGGTCCGGCCCTTCTCGGGCTCCCTCCTCCTCCTCCTCCTCCTCCTCCCTCCTCTCCTCCTCCTCCTCCTCCTCCTCCTCCTCCTCCCCCTCCCCCTCCCCCTCCCCCTCCCCCTCCCCCTCCCCTTTTGGAAGTCCACGACAGCTTCTGGGGCCACCCAGGAGGCCCCCAAGACGGTCCAAGAGGGCCCCGAGACGCCGAAAGAGCTTCAAGACGCCTAACTTGGGCCGAAAGGTCGTTCCAAGACGCCCAACATGGGCCGAAGACGGCCCAAGAGGCCGCCAAGACGTTCCAGAGGAGGCCTCCCAGGAAGCCTCCAAGATGCCAGAATCGTCGAAATCCCTTCGGGAAACGTGCATTTCTAGCACGTACGATTTTTCTGCCTTCGCAGCGCGGAAGCCCTTCCAAGATGCCTCCAAGACCGCCCTAAGACGGCCCCATAGGCTCCCAAGAAGCCCCCAACGCGGCACAAGAGGCGCCCAAAACGACCCAAAAGGGCTCGACGACGGCCCCGAGCGGGGCCCGAAAGGGGGACCACGAAACAAACATTCCAGCCGTCCGCCCCTAGAGGCCCCCAGGCGGCCACAAGAGGCTCCAAAAAGGCGTCCAGACGCCCCCGAAAGGCCCCCGAGAAGCCCCGAGAAATTCCCCGGGCCACCAAGACCCCAGGGGCCTCCAAGAGGCCCCAAGGGGCCCCATGAGGCCCCCCGATCGGCTTCGATATGCGATGGTTCGGCCTTCGCAGCGCGGAAGACCCTCCGAGATGCCTCCAAGACCGCCCTAAGACTGCCCCATTTCGAACCTTCGGCTCCAAGACGCCCCCCAACGTGCCCCAGGGGCCCCCGGGAAGCCCCCAAGAAAAAACAAAGGGGTCGGCGGAATAGTCTCGGACCCCTACTGTAGCATCGCCCCCGAAGCATCACCCGCGGCCCAGATGGGGCCCTCAATGGTTTCCACCTGGCCCCCAAGCGCGGATCCCCATTCGCCGGCGGCGACCTAGCGGGCCTCTGGAGGCTCTAGCGCGGTGGTCCATGAAGCGGGGATGTGGCCTCGGAATCAACAAAACACGTGATGTTATTCGCTGCGAGGTCCTTCAGGGCTCGACCGTGAAGCTCCTGTCCGAAGCTCCTGTCCGGGTATTCTGTCGGCGTCGTCGAGGAAGCTTCCGCCGCGCGCTCCTTTGGCCACCGGCCTGCGCAGGCTGTCGCAGCGAAGGCATCTCTCAACGCGTGCTCTCATTGTTTCTCCTGCTTGCTGAGGAGACCTCGGGGACTGTGCGCGTCGACGCCAGTGGAGATGCCTGCGCCGCAATCGGAAGACGACGCCTGATGCCGCGAACTCCTCTCGCCCACACTTTTGGGGACCTGCCGTCAGCGCGCTTGACTGGTCGAAACCTTCAAACGCATCAGACATGGTCTGGAACATGTCTAACCCGAGCTTGCAGTCGTTCCCCCCTGGGCCCGCCCAGTCCATGGGGCTCCATCGGGCTCCACTCGAGGCCCAGGAGAGTGGCGATGATGACTGCAATCTGGCCTTGGGCCCTGGGCCATCTCCTGTTCGGCTCGGCGCCCCTGGCCCGATTCCAGATCCCCCCCCCCGCCCGCGCTCTGCGGATGCGGGGGCAGCAGCTGGGGTCGCTGGGGGGGGTGGGGATGGGGGTGGGGGGACTAAACTATCCAGCCAGGGGCTCCACCGCTGCAGCCTTGGCCAAGTCTTCTGCCCCCCTCCCCAGATCCAGCAGCGTGGGCAGGCCAGCTGTCGCAATCTGCGCGCCGCGGCGGGGCTTCGCCCCGAGGAGTTTGGATTCGTGCAGGCTTTCGGGGATGGCGCCTGACATGAGCAGTTGTTCTTGGATCTCTTGGATCTGGCCACGGCTGCTCGAGGTATAGCTTTGCCCATCGGCTCCCTACGGCTAACGTAAGATCCTTGGTCCACTCCTAGGTCTGGTGCTACCACCTCCGACTCGATGTAGACTCCTTTCCTCTTTGCCCCCTCGGCCGGTTCGATCGCTAGCTTCTGCGGGTGTCCTATGATCTGAGACGTGCTGGAGAGCTCGAGATCGCTCTCTGTTAATCCTTAGTTCAGCATGTCCGCAAGCTCAACTGCGATCGCTCAACCTCCTCGGCGTGCCCCTCCACCTTGCTGTTCATGCCGCCCACGCCGCTCTTACTTTCCAACTGTGGGCCCAGGCGTGAGCTCAAGTTAAGCGACAGACGGTGCAGGGTCGTCGCCGCCGCGTGCTGCGCGGGGAGGATGCCCTACGTCGGTGTGACCACCCAAGAGAAACTCTGTCTGCTCTTGAGGTACCTGGGAACAGGGTGGATCTGGATGGGGAGGACCAAGATGCTGCATGGTTGCGGGTGCATACCGGTGCTTCCGAGCCGTCTGCATGACCGGTCTGGGGTTGAGAGGGTCATCGAGAGCACAGGCGCCGATGAAACCGGGCGCGGGTGCGACCTTCAGCTCCGCTGCGCTCTCGTCGACGACTAGTCTTCTCAAAGCTGAACGCGCTGCTAAGCCCCCCTTGGCTGCGTCGCCCCACGGCGCCTGCTCGGCCCTCTCCTGAGTGCATCTGTCCGCGCTGGCTCCTCCCAGCTGCTCTCCCTGTCTAGCCATTAATGCAAACGTGGCGATGGCGCGGTCTCTGGCGTTCTCTGTCGGAATGAGAGATGCCCGTGCTCGCAGAAGTTGCCGCGGCAACGCCGGCGACGTTCTCCTTCGTGGAGGATGTCCATCAGGTCTTGCCCGGCCTCATTTGGCAGCCTCAGGATGCCCTTGGGCCCTGCGTTTAGGCGACCTCCTCACTTCCTTCTGGGCTCATTACGAGGAGCTCTATAGCTGATGGGCTCGGTTTCTGTGGGGGCCTTCTTGGGCCTGGGGGAACTTATTGAAGCTTTCCTGAATTCATTGAAGCTCTCCTGTGCTTGGGGAATCTTGTTTTCCGCGTCCACTGACACTCCATAGCAAGGCCCGCTTATGCGCAGAGCTTTCGGGGCAAACCGATGGGAGCCGTGGTGTTCCATTCCTCTACTTTGCGTGCCGGCATGGGTATAGGCATCCTGCAGAGGCCGCCCAAGTCGGCGGCGCCGTGGGCCCAGGTGGTGAACCCTTTGAAGCTTCTACGGGTGACCCGAGAGGACACCGTGCTGCCATTCCTCTCTGCTGCTTTCGGCAAGTTTTCCAACTGCCTGCGGGGGCGGGCGCCTGCCGATGTCAGCGCCCTCTGCCGTGAATGCCTTGCCGCGGAGGTGAAAGCGTGGATCGTGATCTCGCTGGTCGTTAGCGCCAGCTGTTGCAATGTGCTGGCGATCTGCTCGATCACATCCGCATTCTCCGATCCCTTGGCCTTGGCGGGCGCCATCGAGCTGAGGTGCGAAAAGAACTACCGACCTCTATTTGCAGTCATTGTTCGTCGACTGCATCGGCGCGCTCTGGATGCGCACTGGTTGGTCTTCAAGAGGTCGGGGCGCAGGTCTACCCGCGCATTTCGGGCTGTCTCCCCCTGGGACCTCAGACGCGCGGCGCTAAACATCTCCATCCCTGAGCAGCCGCGCCCCGACATCCTCCGCTAGCTTCTACGAATGCAACGCCGCGGGGCGTGGCATGGGCGCAAGCTGACGTCTGACAGAGGCCCCTCTTAAACTATAATGTCCTGGTTTCTGGCCTTCGAATTCTTCCAAAGGTCGCCCACGGCTCCGGTACATGTGAACTCCTCAGGTTTTTCCTCTGGATCCTCGGGGTTCTCATCCAGGATTTCCTCGACCTCTGGTTATGCGTTCTCCTCGGGCTGGAACTCTTCCCCCGCCGATTGGTCGGGGTCTTCCAGGTCCAGGATGGGGGCTGCCTTTCCTTCGGCATTCTCTTTAAACTTGGGTTTCGACTTGTTCTTGGCCAGGTTGTCGCTCCGCCCTGTCATTTTCTGCCTCGGCCACTTGCTGTCGGGATCCGCGTTCCTTGCTGGGGGCGGCGTGTGAGGGGCTGGCAATGTGCCGCGTGGTTGGCGCCCACCCCCAGTTCTAGAATGATTCCCGCGCGCGGCCCACCTTCCGCGGCGGCTGCCCCAGACCTCCCCCGCGAGGGGCAGCGCATCTACTGAGAATGCTGTAAACTCAAAAAGCCCTTCTCCACCTACCGCGCTGGTGGCGGCCACGTTCGCTGGCTTTCGCGCCGCGGCTTCCATCGCCTGGATGTAGGGCTCCAGCTCGGACGGCGTAACGTTCCAATCGCCTGCCAGAATCCAAGGGGCTCCTTGGGCGGTCAAGGGTCCTCGGATGCGACGTGGCATCTACAGGTCTCTGATCACGGCGCCGACGCACGGGCCCTGGGGCGCCTGCCGAAGGGTGAGCTGGCCCCAGCGGGCCCGGACCGAGACGGCCGCAAGTGAAATCCAGGTAATCGACGGGCCTCTGTCCGAGCTTACTTTTGCCCGCCCCAGGGCTGATGTCGCGGCGTTGCTCAGCTCTCGCAGCTATATGGGCGAACGAGTTGGCATCCGTGGCGGGCCGACATGCCAGTAGAGCGCCGCCTGCGGGCGTTATGCTGTTGTTCGGCCGTGATGGCGAGATGGGCAGCCTCCAGCCGCTCAGGTCGATCTCGTGCCTCATCAGGTCGGTCTTGTCCGCCGCCTGGTGGTGCTCCGAGAGTCGCGCCATATTGCGTTCTTTCCAAGGGCTCGTCAAGGCCTCCCTGCACTTCTTTCCCCAACTGGGTATGTTGCGGGACTGGATGTTGCCGAGATCTCCAGTCGATCTTGCTGCTCGGGGTGGCTTCGCCGAGGTATCAGCGCGCGCCTTCGTCGACGCCCCCGTTGCCCCCCGCGATCATCCGGCCCGTGGGCTTGCCGAGCGTTGAGGGGGGCCTCCGCCGTCATTGCCGCGCCTCGATGCTCGAACACCGAAACTGATCTCCTCCGACCACGGCCTCTACTTGCTGAGCTGGCCGCCCAACACTGCAATGCCCTGCGCGACGTTCAAATCCAACTGGCGACCCTGACGCATGGTTGAACAGTGGTGGCTCCGCGCCGCGGGCTCCGTGCTCTCCGCCCTGGGGAATTTAGAACATGTGCACTCCGTGTTCCAAAGCTTCTGGGGCAATGGTGCGGATGCCCCCCGCGCCTGTCCCACTTCGGGTAGATGGCGTGCCCCGCGTGGTCTGCCCCGCCTTCCTCCAGCCGACTAGGGCCCGCGGGCGCGCGCGCAGCGGCCCTGGGGCCCCCGCGAATCCCGGCCCGCGGCGGGCTTCTTCCGCGGTGCAGTCTCAGCCTTCTCTGGGACGGTGAGCACCTCGCCTTTCGACTGCGGAATTGACGTCGGTCGCGAATCTGGAGCAATGCCATGGCATAGGAAAAAAGACCCTGCCGCGTCAGCCACCGCCAGAGCGAACGCCTTGTCTGCCGTGAGCGTGTTGTGGATGATGAACTTGTCGGGCTTCTCCTCTGCTTCGGCGGCGGGTGGTGCAGCTGCTGCTTCAGCTCGCCCAGGCACTCGGGTGCCCACTCCTGTTGGTGCAGCTTCGTTAGCATTGGGCTTTCTTTCCTCGCCCTCGAGCCGCGCCATCTGCCTCTACCGGGGCTCCATGGCGGACGTGGCGCGGTCCAGCGCTGTCTCGAACTTGTTATGGTTCGACGTCTGGATCTACTCGGCCGCGTCGATCTTGCGCTTCTCGAGGTCGCCCCGACCAGCAGCCTCCAAATCGAATCCAGAAAAACAGACAGTATCTGTGCCCGGGACCTCGCCCGCTCGTCGACTTCCACCGCCCCCCGTCGCCAGCTCGCGGACGCCGATCTCGCTGCAATCTGTGCTCCTGCTGCGTTCTGGCCCTGGACCTCGTTCAAAGCCTCCTGAACGTCCTTGTCCGCTGCT